AAAAATGAACAGGGCCTGAGGGGCCTGTAGAACATCATGGAAGAATTGAGAAAGGAGCAGAAGGAATATTTGAAGAAATAATAAAGTGTTCCAAATCTGATCAAAATTTCCCAAATTTGCAATGAATATACACCTCCGAGAAGCTCAATGAATCACAAGCATGATAAACTTAAAGAGATTCACAGTAAGAAACATAGTAGTCAAACTGACAAAAACTAAAGACAGACTTTTGAAAGCAGCATGACAAGAGATTATAATGTACAAGTGTTTTTCAGTAAAATTAACAACTGATTTCTCACCAGAAACCAGGAAGGCCAAAAGACAGTGAGATGACATTCTCAAAGTGCTAAAGGGAAAAAGTTGTCAATCAAGAATTCTGTGCCTGGAAAATGTATCTTTCAGTAGTAAAAGATAAATTAAGATGTTTCCATATAAACAGAAGCTGAGGTAATTCATTACCAGTAGACTTGCTCTATAAGAAATGCTAAAGGGAGTCCTTCATGATGAAATGAAAAGACACTCAAATGAAATGAAATGAAATTAACTCAAAGCCATAGAAAGTAAAAAGTACAATAGGAGAGGTTATCTCAGAGGTATGTATAAAATCCAGTATTATTATGCTTTTGTTATGGTTTGAAACTTCTTTTTCCTATGTGATTTAATAGACAAAGGCCCAAAATAATAATTGTGAATCTATGTTAATGAACATACAGTGAGTAAAGATGTAATCTGAGCTGGGTGCAGTGGCTCATGCCTGTAACCCTAGCACTTTGGGAGGCCGAGATGGGTGGATCACCTGAGGTCGGGAGTTCCAGACCAGCCTAACGAGGAGAAACCCCATCTCTACTAAAAATACAAAATTAGCTGGACATGGTGACACATGCCTGTAATCCTAGCTACTCGAGAGGCTGAGGCAGGAGAATTGCTTGAACATGGGAGGCAGAGGGTGTGGTGAGCTGAGATCACACCATTACACTCCAGCCTGGGCAATGAGAGCAAAACTCTGTCTCGAAAAAAAAAGATATAATCTCTGACAATAACAATATTGAGGAGAAAAGATGGAGATGTGTATGAGAAGTGTGTATTATTAAAACTAAGTGGGCATTATTTGAGCTAGGTTATTGTAAGTTTAAGACATTAATTATAATTTTCAAGGTATTCACTAAAAAAAAAAATTAAAAATACCGGAAAGAACAGAAGAAGGGAAGCAAAAACAAAAGGTATGCTAAAAACAAAAAGACAGCAACATAGGAATCAAGGAACAAAAGCACAAAACACATGGAAAACAGAAAAATAGCAGAGTAAGTATGTCTTTATTGGTAATTCCATTGAATGTAACTCAACTACTTGTTATATTCTACTAAAAGACATAGATTGGCAAATTGGATTAAATAGAAAACAAGATCTACCAATATGATATCTATAAGAGATTCACTTTAGATATAAGGACAGAAGTGGTTCAAAGTAAAAAGGAACCCAAAGACAGTTTGGGTGGCAGTATTATTGTCAGAAAAACGTAGACTTTAAGTAAAGTAAAGTAAAAAAAAAAAAAAAAAAAAAAAAAAAACTTGCAAGAGATGAAGAGGGACTTGAGAAAATATTCAATACTATAGGATATAACAATTGTCAATATATACACACAACATCAGAGTCAAAATATATAAAGCAAAAGTTAACTGAATGAAGAAATAGAAAACTCTGCTATAATAGTTGGGAAATTCAGTACTCCCCTTTCAATAATAGATACAACTAGACAGAAAGTCAATATGGAAACAGAGGACTTGAACAACAATATAAAATAATTATACTTAATAGATATATACTGGCTGGGCACAGTGGCTCAGGTCTGTGATACCAGCACTTTGGAAGGCTGAGGTGGGTGGATCACCTGAGGTCGGGAGTTTAAGACCCACCTGACCAACATGGTGAAACCGGATCTTTACTAAAGATACAAAAATTATTTAGGCTGGTGGTACCTGTAATCCCAGCTACTCAGGAGGGTGAGGTAGGAAAACTGTATAAACCCAGGAGGTGGAGGTTGCAGTGAGCAGAGATCACACCACTGCACTCCAGGCTGGGTGGCAGAGTGAGACTGAAAAAAAAAAAAAAAAAAATTATCCAATTGAAAAAAAGAAGTAAAATTTTGTTTACAGATGACATGATTATATGATTACATATATAGAAAACCCTAAAGAAACCACAAAAATATTGTTACAAATAATAAATGAACTTGGCAAAATTGCATGATATAAAATAACACACACAAAAAAACAGTTGTATTTCTATGCATTTGCTATGAACAATGTGAAAATAAAATTAGGCATTTCTAGTTTCTGGTCTTGCATGTATGAAGTTGGAAGTCACCACTTCATCCTAATAAGTAAAAAGTTGAAGCTAAAAAATTAACAACTCTTTTTCATCAAAGAGGTATGGTCACAGGGCAAACCACTGCCTCTAAAATTGGAGAGACTGACAGGCAAAGGAGACTTTTTTGGCTTCTTAGAGCAAAAACTCATGAACACAAACCTCTTCAGGAACCAGTGCCAATGCAAGAAAACCTCAACTATAACTGATGAATTGCTGGGGACTTAGCATGGATAAATCTGAGAGATTAAACTCTAGGAGAATCCAGTTATCAAGGGACACCCCCCCCACCTCCCCATGCTTTTATGAGTCCTCCAGGAACTCAGCAAAGCTATTACAGTGACAGAGGCAGAAACTGTGAAGAAATAATATAAGTTGTCTCTGAGAAACTCACTTTAAAGATAAAGACACATATAGATTAAACATAAATCAATAAAGTTATACCATACTAACACTAATCAAAAGAAAGCAAAAATAGCTATATTAGTTTCAGACAGAGTAGCCTTCAAATCAAGTAGAGCTATCAGGGATAAAAACGGGAATTATATAATGAACAAGGGGTTAATTCTCTAAGAAGACATAATCCTTAATGTGTATGCACCTAAAAACAGACTGTCAAAATACATGAAGGCAAAAGCTGATAGAACTTCAAGAAGGAAGAGATGAATCTACTATCACAGAGATCTCAAAAATTCTTTATCAAAAATGGGCAGATCCAGCAAGCAGAAAATCAGTAAGGATAGAGTTGAAATCAACAACAGCATCAATCAACTGGATATAATGGCCGTTTATAGACTTCATCCAACAACAGCAGAATACTCCTTCTTCTCAAACTCACGTGGAACATTAATCAATATAGACCATGTTCTGGGCCCTAAAACATAGCTTAACAAATTTAAAAGATTAGAAATCATACAGTGACTTCTCTCAGATGACAATAAATTTAACTAGAAATCAACGACAGAAAGATCATTGGAAAATCCCCCAAATACTTGGAGATTAAGCAATACACTTCTAAATAACACATGTGTCAAAGAAGAAATGCCAAGAGCAATTAAAAGATACTTTTAACTACATTAAAATGAAAACACAACTTAACAAAATGTATGGAATGCTGTGAAAGCAGTGCTTAGGGGGAATTTATGACATTGAATATATATTTCTAATATATACATATTAGAAATAGCATTAAAATACCTCAGAATAAACTTAAGGAGGTGAAAGACCTGTACACTGAATACTGTAATACATTGCTTAAAGAAATTAAAGAAGACATAAATAATTGGAAAGACATCCCATGTTCATGGATTAGAAGACTAACTATTGATAAAATGATAATACTATTTGATATACAGATTCAATGTATTCCTTATCAAAATTTCAACCTTTGTTTGCAGAAATAGAAAATCCCATTCTAAAATTCATATGGAAAATCAAATTACCCTGAATAACCAAAGAAAATCTTGAAGAAAAGAATAAAGTTTAAAGACACATACTTCATAATTTCAAAACTTTACACAAGCCTACAGTAACCTAAAGAGTGTGGTACTGGAACAAGAATAGATACACAGATCAATAAAATAGAAAAGAGAGCCCAGAAATAAACCTCACTTACATAGTTGATGGATTGATTTTTAACAACTGCCAAGACCATTCAATGGGAAACGGACAGTATTTTCAACAAATGGTGCTGGAAAAACTGGATATCCAAATGCAAAATAAAGTTGTAGTATTTACACCATCTACAAAAATTAACTCAAAATGGATCAAGGACCTAAATTTAAGAAGTAAAACTATAAAACTCTTAGAAGAAAACATAAAAATCTTTATTAGACAATGTAATTCTCAAGTATTGCACATGTGATAAAAATAGATCAATTGAGCTTCATAAAAATTAAAAAGTTTTATGCATCAAAGTACACTATCAAAAGAAAAAACTCAGAATGGGAGAAAATATTTGCAAATCATATATCTGAAGAAGAATTAATATCTGGAATATATAAAAACTCATGCAAAACAACAAAACCCAATTCACCAATAGGCAAAGGATTTGAACAGACATTTCTCCAAAGAAGACATACAAATATGCACACAACAAGATGTTCAACATCACTAGCCATCAGGGAAATGCAAATTAAAGCCACAATGAGCTAAAGCTTCATACCTATTAGGATGGCTATACAACAACAAGAACTACAACAAAAAACAGAAATTAACGTGTCGGCAAAGATGTGGAGAAACTAGAATCCTGCATTGCTGGTGAAAATGTATAATGATGCAGCCATTGTAGAAGACAGTTTGATGTTTCCTCAAAAAAGCTGATTACAGAATTACTATATGATTCAGCAATTCAATGCCTAGCTCTATACCCAAAGAGTTGAAAATAGTGACCCAGACACTTGTACACCAATGTTCATAGCAGCATTATTTGCAATGGTCAAAAGGCGGAAACAACCCAAGTGTTCAACAAGATATGAATGGATAAACAAAATATTATGTATGTATATTTATATACTGTTTATGTATAAACACACATATACACAATGGAATATTATTTAGCCATTAAAGGGCATGAAGGATACATGCTGCAACATGAACCTTGAAAACATTATGCTAATTAAAAATAATCCAGACAAAAATAAACAAATGTTGTATTATTTCATTTATATGGCATATCTAGAACAGGAAAATTCATAGAAACACAATGTAAAATAAAGGTTAGCAGAGACTGTGGGGAGGAGGGAATAGACCGTTCAATGGGCATCTTTAGGGATGACGAAAGTGTTCTAGAATTAGATAGTGATGGTGCTGTTGTGAATACACTAAAAACTTTATTGTACCACTTTAAAATGGTAACTTTAATGTTAAACGTAGTACCACAATTTGAAAGTGTTTTTGTCTTAAAAATAGGAAATGATAAAATTAGATTTTATCTAATTCTTTCCAGCTTTATAATTTGGATCCTGCTCCTTTATACTTCATGGCTCATGTCTTATACTTACTTGATGTTTCTATGGTACTTGTGCACAGCTGTCAAATCCACAGCTTTGCACATGCTTTCCACTCTTCTAGTTTCTCAACTATTTGTAAGGTTGCCCTCCTCTATGTTTTCCATTAAATCTTCCATTAGTCAAACCACTCCCATGTACCTCCTTCCGTAAGTTTTTCCTGCCCTAAACTCCCAGGGCAAATTGTGCAACTTCATTGCCTTATATTAAAAATAAATAGAATTTTAAAAAATCCACTAGATTAGGGTAGTGTCCTGATTTTATTCATCTTTTCTCTTTTGGTGAAACTTGAGAAGTGTCTTGCGGTTAACTGTATTTTAAGCATCTAGATCGTGCAATAAAGCCAGTTTCTCCAGACAGGCTGGAGATCACCTGCATCAGAATCAACTGAGATGCCCGTTGAAAATGTAATTTTCCAGGCCAGGGAGTCGGTCTCGGAGTGTAAACCTTGTGAAGCTGTATTTTAACAAGCTCGTTTGGTGATTTACTTGGGTACGCTATTTAAAACTCTATGAACTACCGGTCTGGGCTGTATTTTGCAGTGTATTAAGGCGGTCTTCGGGAGCTCTCGCAGACTCCCTTCCTCTAGCCTCTCACATACCAGGGGAGAGGCTTTGCAAAAACCTCCAGGAAAGTGAATCCCAGCACAGCCCGGCTCTCGCTGGCTCTCCGGCGCATGCGCAGAGCTGCGACCGCTGCCGATATGTTGCCCACTCCCAGTATGTTTCCTGTTTTGCAAGTGGTCGTCCGTGTCAGGAGACTTAGGTTCAGGCGGCTGCTAGACCGTGATTGATCCCGCACACGGAGCAGGGCATGATCAGCTGCAGTCTGAGGGGAAGAGCGCCTGCGATCCTAGGAAAGCCGAGGGGCGTCGGGGCAGCGGCTCGACGCGTGGGTTTCTCTTTAATCCTTCCGACTTCCCCAAGCCCCGCGCACTCCGGTTCCGCTCCAAGTGCGGGACCCGTCCGGGGTGTGTCTGGGTGCTCGGCCGGAGGCGGCCGGTGAGTGGGGCGCGCAGGGCCCCGGGACCAGCGTGGGTGGTCTTGGATGTTCTGGAACGTGGAAACACGGTTTCTTCGAAGGAAACGGGCGAAAGCGCCGCGAGTGGTTTGGCTGCAGGTCCGGTCAGGGGGCACGTCCACGGTTGGGACGCCCTGTGGCGAGGGGTCTTCAAGAGGCCCCCAGCGCCCGTCTCACGCGCGGGCCGGCCCGGTCCCTCTGCGGCAGCGGCAGCCGGTGGTGTCCCCTGTGTGTCCCTGAGGTGAATTCAAGAGCAGGGTTGCGCCCTGCTTCCCGGCTAGCTGGGCGAGGGAGGGCTTCCGTGCTGGGTGGTTTCTCGGTTGCTTACTGAGTGCAGGCGCTGCTCCAAGAGCTTTTAACTGCTTTAACTCACTTGATCCTCGCATCAGCCCCATGAAAAACGTACTGTTATTGTCCCCATGCTACAGATCAGGAGTCACATAAAGTACTTGCTCGGACGGGGGCGGTGGCTCACACCTGTAATCCCAGCACTTTAGGAGGCCGAGGTGGGCGGATCACCTGAGGTTAGGAGTTTGAGAGAAGACTGGCCGTCTCCATTAAAAATACAGAAAGTAGCCAGGCGTGGTGGCGCGCACCTCTGGTCCCAGCTACTCAGGGGGCTGCGGCAGGAGAATCGCTTGAACCTGGGTGGTGGAGGTTGCAGTGAGCCGAGATTACGCTACTGCACTCCAGCCTGGGTGACAGAGTGGGACTCCGTCTCAAAAAAAAAAAAAAAAAAAAAAAAAAAAAAGGATTTGCATGAAGTTACAGAGACTAGTGAATACCAGTTCTTAGTTTATGGATCTGATGATGAAGGTTGGAACTACAATAAAGTAGTTGTTAATTATTTGTTGGTAGGTGTATTGACTGTTACTGTGGATCTTTGTGTGTGAGTTTGTGCTTTATGGGTGCGTTTGTGCTTTGAGCCAATTTCTGAAGATTGTTACCTGAAGATCGCCTTTGGTAGGACAAGATTTTCCCTGTTCTGTGATTAAACTGAGGCTGCCTAGGCACTTCTGCTGATTGCTTCGTGGATTGGCAAAAGCTCCAGGAAGCAATCAGCCTAGAGCCACAAAACAAAGCACCTGGAGAAGCCCTATTCCAGAACTGTCAAAACCTTCTCCTTTCTGAAGAGGGTAGAAAATAAAGGAGAATTATTCCTGGATCAGGAATTGATTATAGGAGAAAGTGACATTGTCAAAAGAGTTTTAGCTAATTGGGGTAACAGTGGTGGCCAACGCTGTTAGTGCTAGAAAGTTAGAGAGCCACATAAAGGAAGAGCTAACTACCAGGTTTGCTAGGACTGCAGCCTGTTACCACTTAATAATGTTTTTGTGGGGATACAGTATCCAGAGAGCAGTAAGGTAACCTAAATAATGAAAGCATGAGGAAGAAAGGAGAAAAAGGGGTGGTGGAGGAATCCCTTGGATAGAATCTGAATAAAGGTATGACCCTAACATTGTGTAGACAAGCCCTAACCTCCTGGCCTCTCTGAAATATGTTTAGGGGCTATCCACGAAACTTTTGTCACAGTCACTAGCTTTCCCTTTCCCATCTCATATACATCCTCCAGAGCCAGGAAAAAGAATGCCTCTCTCCATGCTCTAGAGCAGCAGCTGCTGAAGGGAGCCTCATAAATCCTCAGGACAGCATCTTTCCTTAAACATACACCATCACAGTTTTCAAATTCATTGATGTGAGATAAGCATAGCAATAGCATCTTCTCCCTTACGTTATATATGGTATTCTTTGTTGTAAATGTTTTGTCATATTTTAACTTGCAGTATTCACAAAAGCTTTGTAAGAAGAGACAAGCACATGCTAGTAATGGTGTTTTATAATATGGGACAAGAGTTTTCACAAAGGTTACTTGACCAAGGAAGCACAGCTCTAAGCAGTGTCATCTGTCTTCTATTTTGACCCTCAGGAAGAAGTAAGGGGACCAGTGCCATAGTGTCTTTGATTTCATACCCCATTTGAAGAGAATGTCAAAGAGGCTGGATCACCTGAAGAGTTTAGAGGAAATTTGGATTTGACTTAGATCTGTCTTCTTTATCTTTCATCATAAAAGATGAACTTAAAACCCAGACATAAATGTCCATTGTCATTTTCTTTATATCTGAGAGGAGATGGGATTTCTTTGAGGCATTCATTTTACTTCTTAATCCTTAGGGTTGCATCCAACAGGCCAGACCTGGACATCACTAGACAGAAGTTCTGGATGCCTTAGAGTATGACCTTTTCCCATTTCTGCCTTTTATTAAAAATAAAACCAAGAGAAAGCAGAAGAGGGAAAGGCAACTGTCTGCATCCCTATAACATCCCTGTCTCACGAGTTAAGTATTCTTCCCTGTTTTCTGCAAGTGTTCATCTTGCCAAACAGAGACACGTTTATTTCTCTTAAAGGAACTTCCCTTCTTAGGTGAGTCTGCCAAATCTTGCCAAAGAGACTATTCTTAATTTTCCTGCTGATTGCCCTTAATATCTTCAACACTCCTTCACTCTAATTCATCATTAGATGATTATGAACACAGGCCTTCTTTGGCCTATTATGTACCTTGAGATCTTACATGTCTCTGAGGATTTGAAAAAGAGGAGATTCATTGTAGTCCTCTCCCCTTAGTCTAGGCAGATGGCTATGTGTTTCAAAGTTTGGGATCTAAAGTTAAACTACTGGGAATCAAATAGCTTTGGACCAGTCAAGTCCAGCATCTCCATTTTACAGATGAGGAGACATAAAACTAGATTGCTTATTTTTCCCTGGTTTCTAGATAGCTGCAAATGGAACAATGACCAAAATCCAAATTACCTAGTCAATGCATATAGCTCTGTCTGATGTTTCCCTGAATTGTGGTGAGGATGCCACTTGCACTTCAGTGGAGGCCAGAGACTTTTTTTTTTTTTTAGATGGAGTCTCGCTGTCACCCAGGCTGGAGTGCAGTGGTACAGTCTTAGCTCACTGCAACCTCTACCTCCCAAGTTCAAGTGATTCTCCCGCTTCAGCCTCCTGAGTAGCTGGGACTACAGGTGTGTGTCACCGTGCCTGGCTAATTTTTATATTTTACTAGAGATGGGGTTTTACCATGTTGGGCTGGTCTCAAACTCCTGACCGCAGGTGGTCTGCCCACCTTGGCCTCCCAATGTGCTGGGATTACAGGCGTGAGCCACCATGTCCGGCCAAGGCCAGAGACTTTAATCCATAGGTTACATAGATAGGCCTGTTAGTGTGGTTGAGATTTACTGCAGCCTTTCAGGGACTGCCTTTGGGAGGTAGCCACTCTTTACACCCCTACGGCACTCTGAAGTCAAGGTCATGCCGATATCCTTCTGACACTGGTGGAGTTTAGTTTCTTGGCTATTTACAAGCCGCTAAACAGAAAGCGTGACTCAGGCATTCTTTCCCTGTCTGTTGAGAAGCAACACGTACTACATAGTATAATGAGTTTGCATCTAGGATTTATTATTTGACCTTGAGTCAAATTACTTAACTTCTCTGTACTTTACACTATTTATTTGTATTGTGAGAATAATAATTCCCCTCTCACAGAGTTATTGTGAAGAATAAATGAGTCAATATTCATAAAATGCTTAGAATAGGCGGGCCCAAAGAAAGTCCATTACTAGAGACTGTACTTCCAAGTTAGATTCCTTTCACAAATTCTTTTTGTTTTTTCTTCCAGGTAGAAACTTTCCCTCATGGAGTTTCTATGTGTCTATCATATATGTCACATACACAAACACATCTAATGCATAATACAGTTGTAGACATAATGAGATTATTTGAATGCAAAAACAAATATGCTTTTAGACTCTTGCCCTATACAGTATGATGCGGCTCGAATATGTGTCTCCACCAAATCTCAACTTGAATTGTTATCCCGAATGTTGGAGGTGGGACCTGATGGGAGGTGACTGGATCGTACAGGTGGATACCTCAGGGCTTGGTGCTGTCCTTGGGATAATGCATAAGTTCTCATGAGATCTGGTTGTGTAAAAGTGTGTGGTACCTCTCCATCTCTCTCTTCTTCTACTTTTGCCTTATGATATGCCTGCTCCCCCATTGCCTGCCACCATGAGTAAAAGCTTCCCGAAGCCTTCCCAGAAGCTGAGCAGATGCCAGCACCCTGGTCATACGGCCTGAAGAACTATGAGCCAATCAAACCTATTTTCTTTATAAATTACCTAGCCTCAAGTATTTCTTTATAGCAATGCAAGAATGGCCTAATACAGCAAATTGGTACTGAGGAGCAGGCCTGGCTGTCAAGATATTTAAAAATATGGAAGGAAATTTGGAACTGGGTAACAGGCAGAGGTTGGAAGAGTTTGGAGGGCTCAGAAGATGGGAAGATGAGGGAAAGCTTGGAATTTCTTAGAGACTGGTTAAATGGTTGTGACAAAAATGCTGATAGTGATATGGACGATGAAGTCCGTCTGACAAGGTCTCAGATGGCAATGCGGAACTTATTAGGAACTAAAGCAAAGGTCATGTGTGTTAGGCCTTAACAAAGAAATTTGCTGCCTTGTGCCCCTGCCTTAGGAATCTATGGAAGTTTGCACCTCAGAATGTTGATTTAGGGTATCTGGCAGAAGAAATTTTTAAGCAGCAAAACAATATGTAGCGTGGTTCTTTCTTATTGTGTGTCCTCAGATGTAGGATCAAAGAAATGACTTGAAGTTGGAAGTTATATTTAAAGGAGAATCAGAGCATAAAAGTTTGGAAAATTTGCAGAGACAGAAAAAGCTTTTTCAGGACAGAAATTCAGGCAGGCCATGGAGTAACCAGTTGGGAGAGAGATTTGCATAACCAAAAAGGAGCCAAGTGCTACTAGTCAAGAAAATAGGAAAAAGGCCTCAGAGGCATTTCAGAGATCTAAGAGGCAATGCCTCCCATCACAGGCTCAGAGGCCCAGGAGGACTAAGGATTTTAGGGCCAGATCCAGGGTCCCACTGCCCTGCCCCACTCCAGGAGGCTGCTCTCAAATCCTGGTTGCTCGAGCTCCAGCCATGGTACCAGTGGGCCCAGGTATAGCTCAGGCTGCTGCGCTGGAGGGTAGGAACTGTAAGCCTTGGTGGCTTCCATGTGGTGTTAAGCCTGTGGATGTGCATAGTGCAAGAGTGAAGGAGGCTTGGCAGCCTCTGCCTAGATTTCAGAGGATGTATGAGAAGGCCTGGATGTCTAGGCAGAAGCCTGCCGTAGGGGAAGAGCACCTTTAGAGAACCTCTTTTAGGACAGTCTAGAGAGGAAATTTGGGGTTGGAGGCCCCACACAGGGTCCCCACTGGGGTACTGCCTAGTGGAGCTGTGGGAAAAGGGGCACCATCCCCTCCCCAGAATGGTAGATCCACCAGCAGCTTACACCCTGTGCTTGGAAAAGCCACAGGTATTCAGCAACTTGGGAGAGCAGTGTGGGGCTGAATTCTGCAAAGCCTCAGGAGTAGAACTGTCCAAGGCATTGGGAACCCACCCCTTGCACCACTGTGTCCTGGATGTGGGACATATAGGAGATTATTTTGGAGCTTTAAGATCTAATGACTGACTTGCTGCATTTCAAGCTTGTGTGGAGTCTGTGGCCCCTTTCTTTTGGTGGATTTCTCCCTTTTACAATGGGAGAAATCAGACAAAAGCTTTACCCAATGCCTGCACCTCCATTGTATTTTGGAAGTAAATAAATTGTGATTTTACAGGTTCACAGGTGGAAGAAATTCATCTCCAGATAAGACTTTGGACTTGGGACTTTTGAGTTAATGCCAGAGTGACTTAAGACTTTAGGGGACTATTGAGCAGGAGATGATTGTATTTTGCAGTGTGAGGACATGAGACCTGGGGGCCAGGAGCAGAATGATATGGTTTGAATATATGTCCCCACGAAATCTCATGTTGAACTGTAATCCCCAGTGTTGGAGGTGAAGCCTGATGGGAGGCGATTGGATCATGGAGGTAGATCCCTCATGGCTCGATGCTGTCCTTGCAATAATGAGTGAGTTCTTGTGAAATCAGGTGTGTAAAAGTATGTGGCATCTACTCCCCTGCCTTGCCCCTGCTTTCACCATGTGATATGCCTGTCCCCTTTAACCTTCTGCCATAGGTGAAAGCTCTCTGGAGCCTCACTAGAAGCTGAGAAGATGCCAACACCATGCTTTTACACGCTGCAGAACCATGAGCCAGTTAAACCTCTTTTCTTTATGAATTATCCAGCCTTAGATATTTTTATAGCAATGCAAGAACAGCCTAATACACAGTATATACACATTAGTTGATTATAGATAATCTCATATCAAAGTGGCACAGTTTAACAATCATTAAAATATTAATAAGCATGAGAGTGAATAGGGTCTCACTCTGTCACCCAGGCTGGAGTGCTGTGGTGTGATCTCGGCTTACTGCAACCTCCACCTCTCGGGTTCAACCCATTCTCCAGCCTCAGCTTCCCAAGTAGCTGGGATTACAGGTGTGCGCCACCACGCCCAACTAATTTTTGTATTTTTAGTAGAGACGAGGTTTCACCATGTTAGCCATGCTGATCTTGAACTCCTGACCTCAAGTGATCCACCTGCCTCAGCCTCCCAAAGTGTTGGGATTTCAGGTGTGAGCCACTGTACCCAGCCTCAATTGGATCTTAATGTGGTATTCTACAACAAGAAATTCTGACTCCTGCATGAACCGAGTAGTAGGGCTTTTTGTCTTCCCTGTCTTCAGTTGAAAGCCATGTTCTTGGCAAAGCTGAACACAGGCAGCATCATCATGTTACTTGAAGTTCTCCATGTATGGCTTCTTGGTGTATATCCTCCAAGGCTAGCCTCCACATCTGAGAGGTCTCAGTCTATGAGAAAGGAAAGACTTTTATGAAGCTAGATTAACTCCCTAATCTCATGTATCTCAAATTATGCTGTGAGCAGAAATATCTGGGGAACTGTTATACAGCTCATTGCCTCCTTTAATACACAAGGGTTCCAAGTGAATTAGCAAGAGAAGGGGTTAATCAAGCTTTAATGTGGGAATTTGGAGTCTGGGGATGGGCAAGAAGAAAAGGCATATGTTCCCAGATCCTCCTTTTTCTGACAAAGGCTGCTGGAGCCAGGATGCTCTGCTGGTCACTCTGATAGGCTGGCTGGTCTTCCAGGAGAGGGCCTTGCTTCCCTGTTGCTCTCCCTTCTTATAATACAAGTAGAAAACAACCTTGTCATTGTGGAGATAAACTCACTACTTGGTGCCAGGCAATATGAATGTGAGGTCTTTGCTTTTTAAACAAGAGCCATCTGGGAAAGCTAGCTGTCTAGTACCTGGGAAGCTTGAGATCTTTGGGAAGTTTCAGTCCCTCTGTAGAGAGAAGGGGCCTTTTATTCTATGGGAAGCTGAGTTTCTGTTTTATACCTGCATGCTGTGAGTAGAATGTTGGAGGGTAGAAGACAGCCTAAGCTAGCACTTTGTTCAAGCACCCTAGACTGTATTTCTAAGGTTCTTTCTGGACATTCAGCTTGTCAAGTCACATGAACTTATTAAAATACAAGTGCCTTGGCCCCATCAGATTTACTGGCTTCAAAGCAAGGCTCAGATATCTGGAGTAACAAGTGTCAAAAGTAATTATGATGTGTATGTGTTTGTGTATGTAACCTGTGTGTGTGTGTATGTAACCCATCTTTTGGCATCCAATTTTAGTCCCTTTCGGAGACTCATTGTCTCCAGCCTCTCCAGCCATAGATCCTGTGCAAGTTCACTCTGCCTTTTCTGTAGATAAAAACACTGGGATTGAGCTCTGAATAGCTCTGTGTCCTCAGCACCAGCAGCCTTATGTTAAATCATTTCTAATATGCAGGAACCCCAGCATGTGAATTGGACCCAGTTGGAGGACGAATAACAGTAGTTGCTGAATCTTCAGGAAGTTGAAGAGGACAGTGTCCAGAAATACCTGTCTAGGTGAGTAGTGTCATAAGAAGACCACCAATTTGATGTTTAAAAGATGAGTTCTAGTCCAAGCCCTTGCAATTGGTTGGATCATGTAGGCAAGTGACTCAGTCTGTTTTCTGTCAGATGAGTGGGTTGGTGTAGATGATGTCTAAGTTCTGTTAAATCTCTGACAGTCTATGACTGTATGCTTCTTTAGAAGAATACCTGAAGTATAATAATTGGAAGAAGGGTTGAGGGGCAAATGGGGCTAGCAGTGTGGTAGTTATCATTTCTGAAATTTTTATTCTGTCTCAATCCCAGGAAAACGGTTGTGTTCAAGCTTGATCAAGCCATCTTTCTTTTTCCTTTTTTCCTACACTTGAGAGTCTTGATTCTTGTCATCCTTGTTGTTGCTCTCATTTTCCATGGCTAACAAGCTACCATAATAGGTCATTTTACCTTTTAATGCCCAACACTCTGTCATCAGCTGGTACACCTGCTCGTTTCTTTTTGTTTGGCTTAGCATGTTACCCAATAACTCTTTCCATATTTCTTGTTGTCTCTGTGTTCACCATGCCCACTGAAAAAATTCTGCCTCTTATCTCTTCTGGCTTTGTTCACTTATCCTTCACTATCCTTTTTTGTTTTCTCCTCATATAAAGTTGCTAGTGTGCATGAATTCAAATTAGTTCTCTTTTCTCTGCTGGTTTATTTTCTTTTCTTTCCACAGTAGATACAGATGACATTTGTACTTTAAATATCTTTCATATAGGAAGATATAAACTGAACGAAAGCATCAGCACCAATCACACTGTTTCTGAAGAACTAGAGTTTTCAGTGTCAGCAATGGAAAACCTCAAAGGGAATACTGCTCAGGGTCCTACAAATGAAGAAGCCTATAAACATGAAGGCCAATTTTCAAGGCAGACAAAATGTCCTGCACAGAAGAAATCCTCTTTTGAGAATACAGTGGTCAGAAAAGTGTCAGTGACACTCAAAGAAATTTTCACAGAGGAGGGAGGCCCTGAATCCTGTGAATTTAGTCTAAGCCCAAACCTTGACACACAACAAAAAATTCCAAAGGGCAATAGATCCCCAATATCTAGGAAAAACTCCAAAGATAATTCAGACTTAATTAAACACCAAAGGCTTTTCTCACAAAAAAAACCTTGTAAATGCAATGAATGTGAAAAAGCCTTTAGCTACCAACCAGACCTTCTTATACACAGTAGAATTCGTGGTGGAGAAAAGTCTTTCGAATGCAATGAATGTGGGAAATCTTTCAGCCGAAGTACACACCTTATTGAACATCAAAGAATTCACACTGGAGAGAAACCTTATGAATGCAATGATTGTGGAAAAGCTTTTAGCCGGAGCACACATCTTAGTCTACATCAGAGAATCCATAGTGGAGAAAAACCATATGAATGTAGTGAATGTGGAAAAGCCTTTAGCCGAAGCACTAACCTTAGTCAACATCAGCGAACTCATACTCAAGAAAGGCCTTACAAATGTAATGAATGTGGGAAAGCCTTCAGTGACCGTTCGACTGTAATTCAGCATCAGCGAATACATACTGGAGAAAATCCGTATGAATGTAGTAAATGTGGAAAAGCTTTCAGTTGGATCTCATCGCTTATTGAACATCAGAGAGCACACACTGGGGAGAACCCCTATGAGTGCAGTGACTGTGGGAAAGTGTTCAGTCGAAGTTCATCTCTTACTGAACATCAGCGAATCCACACTGGAGAAAAGCCCCACGAGTGTAGAGTGTGTGGAAAGGGCTTCAGTCGAAGCTCATCCCTTATTATTCATCAGAGAACTCATACCGGGGAGAAGCCGTACAAATGTAATGACTGTGGAAAAGCCTTCAGCCAGAGTTCAACTCTCATCAGACATCAGCACCTACATACTAAAGAGTAATATCTGAGCTTTTATTAATGTTAACACAAGAACACACATACCTAACCTCCCACCATAGAAATATATGTATTTCAAGTATATATATGTACTTGTTCTAATTTTCTTTTATTAGATACCTGTACCCATTTTAAGCTTTCATTCCTTCTGTCGCTCTATTCTTCTTTCCTCTCCCCTCCTTTTCTCCCTCCCTCTTACTTTTTCTACCTCCCCTTTTTCTTTTTCTTTTCTCAAATGAGTTCACAATAAAACAAAGATGACTCAAAAAACTTAACATATACAATCTAATATTCTGAAAGGCTCCAACTTTAGAATATAAAGCTACCTGACACCTTGTAGTTTCTCCACTAATCATTCCATCAAGCGTGCATCCCCAACCTGCCAGCTGATCCTCTGTTTTCTAACCACATCAGCCCCTTCTCATGAAGAGAAAATCCTGTGTGTGTGTCTTCATACTTGCTGGCTCTAGTAACAGAAGTGAGGGATCTGGCTTCAGAACAGGACTAAAAACTTCTCACCAGTCTGGGGATAATAGTGTTGAGGCAAATTCATTCTTTTGACTTGAAAAGATAGATTTTTCTCATCTTGCTCCTTCACTCACCTTTCTTGCTGTAGTATTTTTCCTCAAAATATAACTCATTGTTTTACTGATGTGCCTAATGCCTAACTAATCCCAGTGTTATTTTATCACATTTTTACCAAAAATGTTCTAAAAATCTTGGAGACATTTCTTCATGATCTTGGGGGAAAAGGTTGCTAATTGCTGAGCCTTTTTTTTTTTTATCCTTTTATTTACAGACTTCATAAAACTTATGCTCTGTGGCTTTGACCCTCACCAATCTTGGAAGGTTGATCTCTCAAGGACAAACCCAATGCCTGTTTCTCAGTCCTATTCCTACTTGACATTTGCAGAATTGGCACTTTTTGTCACTGTTATGCCTTAAAGCCTAAGCTTCCTTCAGGATCCATGATTCTGTGCTGATCTACCTTTTCCTACCGCCCAGCGCTTCTTTGATTGTCAGTGATCAGCTCTGTGATATGCGGCGAGGGTTAGGCCAGAATAATCTCATTTTATCAAGTTATAAAACTTGAGGTAGTGCAATTACATTATACGCTTCTTGAAGACAGAAATCTTTGTTTGTTTGTTTTTGTTTTATTTTTGAAAGAAGGTCTTGCTCTGTTGCCCAGGCTGGAGTGCAATGGCACAGTCATAGCTCACTGCAGCCTTGAACTCTTGGGCTCCTGCCACAGCTTCCTGAGTAGCTAGGGCTGTAGGTGTACACCACCACACCCAAAATGTTAAACATTTTTTGTGGAGACAGGATCTCACTATGTTGGCAAGGCTGGTCTTGAACTCCTAGACTCAAAACAGTTCTCCCATGTTGGCTTCCCAAAACACTGACATTATAGGTATGAGCCACCACACCAGCCAGAAATCTTGTTTTTGATTAATATAAAACATCATAAAGTGCTGCATAGACACTAAATGCCCTGTAATTATTGCTCACTGATTCCTCTTTATCCTTTTGTAATCCTTTATTTGATATAGATTAATGATCGACGTCTTTATACTGCAGCTTCCAAGTTCATGGTACCTTGTGACTAGATTACTAAATTTATCACTGTTGACTCACTACCATTATCTAGCTCCTTACTAAATGACTACTTTGTTAAAATAGGCTGCAGTTTCCCAGTGACCTCTGCCCAAAATGTAAACTTCTTTAACTTAAAGGTATTTCATAGTTCGATCTACTTATTTACTTACTTTCTCTTCTCAAAGATAATGCATGCAGGCAGGCCTGTTTTTTTGTTCCTACTGTATCCTGTTCTCACGCTTGGCTTCTTTTCAAACTATTCCTTAGCACTTCTACATGTTCTACTTTCTTCTTTGTATTCCAGAAACCCTATCCCTTTCTTAAAGGCCACGCTCGTATCCTGACTCTGTGACACTTTTAGTTCCTTACTTTCTCAGAAATCCTTTGTAGTGACGGTTTGGATTATTGTCCTATGTTAGACACCTTCTTTACATTAGCCATTTTGATGTTGTAAATCATCCTAAATCTATTATAAGCCCCATATAATACATAGTACAATGCCAGCTGGTACTCTAGTTTTAATCTAAATGCATAGTGTTTAATTTAGCAGCATAATCTTTTTAGTTTTTTGAATGATGAGGTAACCTCATAGGTATTTTGGCCCATTTTGTTTTTCCTTGAGTTATATATATAACTGACTATTTAGACCGACTCCTTTAGATCTCCTGGGATGCTGACCTCTTGGCTTTCTATTTCACGAGACTATTGTAAGGAATAAGTGAGTTTATTCATGTAAAGTAATAAAACAGTGCCTGGCATACAGTAAAAGCTCAATAAATTCTAATTATTATAATTCCACTGATTTACATCTGCCTATAGCTTTTTATTTTATTCCCTGCAGAGTTTTTAACTGCATTACCAGAAATGGAAAACTAGGATCACAGTCAAATAAGCTAGAAGGTATTTGTTTTATCATAATAGGCAATAGCTATTTTATTATAACTCCATTGAATGTAAAAAATGACTCAAGATTGCGAACAAGACACAAAAAAATAGAAAAACACATACAAATGAGCACTAAGAGATCAGGACAAGTTATGGTAACCTACACAGGTATTCAGTTAGGAATACAAACTGAGTATTCTGGCAACCAAAATGTGGAGGTAATTTGCTTACATTGTTTTAGAAGGAAAAAAGTATGTCCATTCTTCAAGGAAAACAAAGCTTTTCTAACACTTAGAATTAAGATGAATTCCTTCATTGGTCTTCATGTGATTATACAATGTATAATTACATGATATAAGAAATATATTTTATGACACCTAGTATATATAGCAGGTTCTCTGGTGAATAAATATTTAGTCCATAGTAGAAGAAGATCCAAAAAGGCAGCTGTGAAGATTGTTTTTAGGATGGAGTGAGGTTTGCAGGAGTGGGAGGTAGAGTATATTAAGTAATAAAGTATTTACTGGGGGCCAGAAGAAACAAGGATATTTTGGTCAATGATGGACTGCAGATATGACAGTGATCACATAAGATTAAATTGGAGCTGGAAAATATCTATTACCTAGTAACATTATAGCATAATTATGTGTTTTTGGTGATACTGTTATAAACAAATTTAGTGCACTGCCAGTCATATAAAAATACAGCACTAAAGGCCAGGTGTGGCAGCTCACACTTGTAATCTCAGCACTTTGGGAGACCAAGGCAGGTGGATCACCTGAGGTCAGGAGTTTGAGACCAGCCTGACCAACATGGTAAAGCCCTGTCTCTACTAAAAATATATAAATTAGCCAGGTGTAGTGGCTCATGCCTATAGTCCCGGCTACTCAGGAGGCTGAGGCACTAGAATTGCTTGAATCTGGGAGGCGGAGGTTGCTGTGAGCCAAGATCATGCTATTGCACTCCACCTTGGGCAACAGAGTGAGACTCGGTCTCAAAAAAAAAAAATTATAGCACTATGTAATACTTGATTAAAAAGCACTGTGTCACTAGTTTATGTATTTACTATATCATACTTTTTACAGTTATTAGATTGGTGCAAAAGTAATTGCGGTGATTGTTATTGAAAGTAATCGTAGAAATCTGCAATTACTTTTGCACCAACCTAATATTTTAGAGTGTACTTATACTTATTAAAAAAAGTTAACTGTAAAAGAGCTTCAGGCAGGTCCTTCAGAAGGTATTCCAGAAGAAGGCATTGTTATCATAGAAGATGGCCGCTCCGTGCATCTTACTGCCCCTGGATGACTTTTCAGTCAGCTAAGATGTGGAACTGTAAAACAGTGACATTGATGATCCTGACCCTTCAGAGGCCTCTGCTAATGTGTGTTTGTGTCCTAGTTTTTAACAAAAGAGTTTACGAAGTAAACAAAATAAATTTAAAAATATAAAAAAGCTTATAGAAATAAGATAGAAAAGATATTTTTATTTAAGGATACAATGTTTATGTTTTAAGCTAAGATATTACAAAAGAGTCAAAAGTTTAAAATATTAAAAAGCTTATAAATTAAAAATGTTACAGGGCTTTGCATCATGCAGTGGAAATCGTCAGGATGTTGGTGATAAGATCCCTGTTCCGAACTTCCTTCCTATGTGTCCTGCCCTGGGGCTTTTGTGCTCCATGTGTCAGGGCTAAGGACTCTGCAGCCAGCTTCTCCCAACCCGGCAGCATGGGCCTGGATAAGAACACAGTGCATAACCAAGAGCATATCATGGAGCATTTAGAGGGTGTCAGGTTGAAATGCCAGGGTCTAGCAGGGACTAGGTGGATGGACAAACAGCTGAAAGAATACTCGGGGGACTGTAGGCAAGAGAAAGATGATTTTATTCAGCAGCAGTGCTCATCAGCAGCTTACTCACATTAGCTCACTTACGTCAGCTCTCTCACACTGTCTGCCCTGTCTTGGCTGCTTGAACGAGCCACTCCCACACGCAGCTGCATGGCTGGCTCTCCCTCGTCTTCAGGGTCAGCAGCTTAACTCTCTCTGGGCACGAGCTTGTTCCTGACTCCCCACCTGCCCGTCTGCCAGTTGGTCATTCTCCCTTACAGGGGCCAGTAGCTTCACTCTCTCCCTGGGCACCAGCACCTGCACAAGAGCCATGTTGAGCTGGGCCCTGTGCACAGCGTCAGCAGGGCAATTATACCTTTTACAGACAATAATGGCTCAGAGCCAAATATGAATGTACACAAACAGGTTATATATAATAAGTGAAGGTATGCACCTGCATGCCAAACTTTCTGAGTCATGGAGGCCTGGATGTCCACCTCAGCCTATTCCTTGACCAAAACACATCCACGTGCCTTACCCTCCATCCCCAGGCTGAGGGAGACGTAGGGTTTGGGCACACAGGCCCATACATAGGCTTGATACATTAGCCTGACACATAAGCTTTAGGCATGCAGGCCCAATATACATACACAAGCTTAACACATTAGCCTGACACATAGGCTTTGGGCACACAAGCCCGATACATACATTCGCATAGGCTTCAATAAACTGAGCAGCTGTCAGCCCAGATTACCATAGTAGGTACCATAGACACCTCAGTGATTGCTATTCACACTGCCCTGAGTTCAGCTCATTAGCTTCTCTGTCTACACCTGGTTTCAAACCATATGGTGTCAGTACTAGGCTGGACCACACCAGCAGACCAGGCAGCAGTAGCACCCAGCTAGATCTAACTGTGTACCATGCCCTATTAGGAATAGGAGGACACCCTTCCTAACAGCGAAGGCTCAGGGTCGAGAGGTGCCTCAGGCCCCATGGCCTTATCTTGTATTAGGACTACAGGTCTCAAGACCTCTTGCAGCTCTGCTGCTAAGGGACTGGTACTCAGCATACTCCACCGCTCTAAGTAAGTGCCCCCCTTCACTAAAGTGGATGTCTGTGCTGTCCCAGTCTGGGGGGTTGTTACCCATGAACGTACCCATCCTGCTATTGGGTAAGTCATTTGCATGACTGTAACCCATCCAACCACACTCTTATGAACCTGAAGGGCAGCACATACAGTTACTAACTGCTTCTTTATTAATGAACACTGGGGCTCAGTTCCCTTCCATAGCTGGGACTAAAAGCTTACTGGCACTTCCAAGCGCTCCGAACACTGTTATAGGCCCTAGCCAACACTATTTGTGGTTACATGCACATCTACTTTAAATGGGCACCTCTAGTTAACTACCCACAGGGCTTATGCCTTCAGAAAGGCTGTTTCACCCTCATCATCCCAATCCCTGGCAAGAGGGGTGTTGCTGCTTCCAAACCTGCAAAAGAACCAGAGGTTAACACAACATCATCATTAATAAGAAAACATATAATTGGGCTATGCATATAGCCCTGCAGCAACGCAATGAAAGTCCACTGTCGCCCTCCCATGAAGGCAAACTCTTCCTGGCTCTCTGGAGCTATGTGGATTGAGAGGAATGCATTGGTCAAGTCCACCACACAGTGGCACCATCCCCATTCCCTTTTCTTTTTTTTTTTTTTGGAGACGGAGTTTCGCTCTTGTTACCCAGGCTGGAGTGCAATGGCGCGATCTCGGCTCACGGCAACCTCCGCCTCCTGGGTTCAGGCAATTCTCCTGCCTCAGTCTCCTGAGTAGCTGGGATTACAGGCACACGCCACCATGCCCAGCTAATTTTTTGTAGTTTTAGTAGAGACGGGGTTTCACCATGTTGATCAGGATGGTCTCGATCTCTTGACCTCGTGATCCACCCGTCTCGGCCTCCCAAAGTGCTGGGATTACAAGCGTGAGCCACCGCACCCGGCCCCCTTTTCAAATAGTCCATCAAGTCCATGGTAGACGGCACAGCCGCCAAGCCATGCAAAATATCTACCCCAAGAATGTCCTCAGGCATGCAACAGACATACACACTGTATAAGTAGAGAGCCAAGCAGCTGATGCCAAGGTGCAAAAACAGGCTTCCCTTTCACTGACCAGCTTTCATAGCTGTCTATGCAGCCTTGCCTGGATCCGGCTGCAGGTACCAGTGGATTGCCAAGTCCATATATGGGCTTTGGTCGGCTGGTGTCCCCCACCAAGCCGGTATCTTGGCCAGTTCTCTTATCAAACAGAAAAGGCTTTACACTTCCACCAACTGCAGCAGGTACTCTATGAACTGGAACACTCGGGCAGGACCAGGTCGCGCAGCAACGTTCTTCTCCTGAATGACTTGCACCAAGTCTGTGCACGACTGCCAGCATTACTTGCTTAACTCCTTCAGCTTAGCAGGGGCACAGGCACCATAGGAAGTGTGCTGCACCACAGTAGGGGATGAGTGATGATTGTGCCACTGCACTCCAGCCTGGGTGACAGAGCAAGACCCTGTCTCTGAAAGTAAATAAATGCATAAAAGTTGTATGGCAAAGGATATGAAGGAGATAGAAAGATAATCATAGGATAATATGATTTAAGGAAATGAGTTTGAGGGAACTCAAGACACTTAAATCTATACCTTTTATGGTTTGGGAAAGTTTTAATTTTTATCTCAGACCATAAAGCCAATCAAATTCATTTTAATATTCTCTCAGAAATATTTAAATTGTTAAAACATAATGTTCATTCATTTTTAATTATGACAAATTGAAAACAGACACAAAATTAGACTAGTAAAACGGTCTCCGATATGCTCATTGTTCAGGTTTAACAACTATCAAAATTTTGCCACATTTCCTTTATTTGTCCCTTTTTTCTTCATTTTATTCTTTTGATATTTTAAATAAAACTGAGACATCTTGAAGTTTCATTCCTGCATATTTCCTTATGCATTTTTAAAAACCACAGACAATTTCTTACATAACCAAAATGTCACTATCATACTTAACAAAATTAACAGTAATTCCTGGTGTACCTTCATTTTGTAAATAAAACACAGCCTGACTTACATCTTCTGTTTGGGAAATTTGGAAGAAACAAAGTGGATGTGGATTCATGCTAAGTTTATGGATTGAGACTGGACCTTTTTTTCATGTGACTTTTACCTTTTCTATTCAGATCCTGGAGTAGAATTGCATTAGCTGAACACAGTGGATCCTTCAGAACATTGGCTTCCTACTGGGGAACTGAAGATTTGAGATCTCAGGAACCACTTTCTAATATTCTTGTTCGCTGTCCATCTTCTCTGATAAGCCTGTTTCCATCATTGATCATTTCCTTACAATTTCACAATCTTAAATTGCTCACTGAACAATGAATGTGTGGAAACCAAAATTAAAAATATCTAAGCCATCAGCAAATCCTGTTGGCTTTACTTCGTTTTTTCTAGAATCAAACCATTTGCCACCATTTTCACCCTGAACAAAGCTGCCACCATATCTCTGCTAGAGTGTTGCCTAACTTATCTCTTTGTTTTCATCCTTGTCTCTCTCAATCACCCACATTGTTCATACAGCCTATTTTCAATACAGTAGCCAGAGGAATCCTTTTTAATTGTTTGTTAAATCATGCTGCGCCTACTCAGAGTCTTCCAGTAGCTTTTCATCTCACTCATAGTAAAAGCCAAAGTCCTTACAGTGACCTACAAGGCCCCACATAGTGTGGCCCTTCATGACCTCTTGAGTCTAATCTCCTATTGCTCTATTTTCATTCACTTTACTCTAGCCACACTGGCCTCTTTGTTATTCTTAAACACACCAAGCCACTCTTGCCACAGAACTTTCACATTTGCTGTTCCCTCTGCTTGCAGGGCTTTATGTTCAGATATCCAGATGGCTGTTTCCTTCTTTCACCTTTTATGACATCTTTTTAATAAGCTGTTTACTGTTACCCTATTTAAAACTATGATGCATACCTATTGGTGTTTTATATCCCATCCTACTTTATTTTTCTTCATAGTATATACTCTATACTTTCAAACAAATTTATTATCTGTCTCCCCTACTGAAATGTAAGCCTCACAAGGGAAGGGATTTTTATTCATTTTATTCTGTGTTCTTTATGATCTGGAAAGGTAAGGACTTAAATGAATGAACACAGAGAAGAACAGGCCCTTGTATTTTTTGTTTGTTTCAGATTTGGGTATGAAAACTGAGACCAAGTGAGTGATTTCAGAGCAGAGAATTCCTGAAGAAGCAGTACTTTGGAGCCTGTTACAGAGAGACACAGTGAGAACCTTCCCTAATGCCCCTTGTGCGAGCAATCTTGTATTGGTGAGAGAAGAGTAGCACAACTTAGAAGTCATTATGTAGGGGCTGGCGTGGTGACTCATGCCCGTAATCCCAGCGCTTTGGGAGGCTGAGGCTGGTGTATTGCTTGAGGTCAGGAGTTGGAGACCAGCCTGACCTACATGGTGAAACTCCATCTCTACTAAAAATATGAAAATTAGCCAGGCGTGGTGGCGGGTGCCTGTAATCCCAGCTACTCAGGAGGCTGAGGCAGGAGAATTGCTTGAACCCGGAAGGCATAGGTTGCAGTGAGCCGAGATCACACCATTGCACTCCAGCCTGGGTGACAAAGCAAGACTGTCTCAAAAAAAAAAAAAAAAAAAAAAAGAAAAAGAAAATTATGTAGGAACGCATCACAGGAAATGCCTTTGTGAGGAAAGGAATTTTCAGTAAAATATTAGTCACCTACAAAAAAATTTCACAAAGCATGGATATCAATGTAATAGTTTTATCAGCAGGTATGATAGTATTCACTGAACAAAAGAAAGTTTGTACTGGAAGTCAAACTTATAAATGTAATATATATAAGAAAAACTTCACGCTGGGCACAGTGGCTTACACCTATAATCCCAGCACTTTGGGAGTCTGAGCAGGCGGATCACCTGAGGTTAGGAATTTGAGACCAGCCTGACCAACATGGAGAAACCCCATCTCTACTAAAAATACAAAATTAGCTGGGCATGGTGGCACCTGCCTGTAATCGCAGCTACTTGAGAGGCTGAAGCAGGAGAACTGCTTGAACCCTGGAGGTGGAGGTTGTGGTGAGCTGAGATGCCACTGCACTTCAGCCTGGCCAACAGAGCAAGACTCCATCTCAAAAAAAAAAAAAAAAAGCAAAGAAAAGAAAAGCTTCAAATGGAGTGCAAAGCTAATAAAACATAAGATTATTTTTACTGTAGAGAAATGATACCATTGTAATATGTGGAAAAGACTTGCATCACCATTCCACTTTAAGAAATTCAAGCAAAAGTTTTTATTTTTCATCAGAGAGTCATGGGTAAAAAGCACTTATTTTATACATGTGATGAATGTGGGGAAAATTCTTTAGTTGGCATGCTGTCCTGAGTCAGTTTCAGATAACAGCCACAGGAACAAGGCCTTAAAAATGCACTGTTTCCAAAAGGCATTTTCTTGCAGTACTTCTCTTATTGTACAAGGCAGCATTCATACATATTCAATGAATGTAGGAAAATCTTTTGACAGATGTCTCACCTTTTCTCTTCTCTCTCTCCTCATTTCATTTTCTTTCTCACTCCTTTCTCCCTCTCCCTGACCCCATCCTCTGTTCTTCTCCCCCTACCTCTTTTCCTCACTCCATCCGAACTCATAATGGGAAGAAACCTTATAAATTCAGTAATTATAAGAATACCTTTAGTCAGTACATGTCTTACTTAACCTCAGTGAGTATGGGAAATCTTTCAACCAATATACATGGTTTGTATGGCTTATTCAGCATACAATATACTTCATACTGGAGAAAAAATAAAGTGTAATGAATTTGGGAAGGCCAATTATTTCTGACACCTTATCAAACATCAAATCACTGACAGGAAAGGCTGTGTAAATGTTGTGAATGGGAGGAGGTCTTTAAGCACAATGCATCACTTGCTCAGCATCAGTGAACACATATAGGAGAAAAGCATTATTTATCTAATTTGCATGGGGAATCTTTTGCTCGTTTCATCTCTTTTTCAACATCAAAGAATAGATATGAGAGAGAAACCTATGAATATACAAAATTTGGAAGGATCTTCACTCAAAGCTCACTTCTTTCACAGCATCAGAAAATCCTAATAGAAAAATCCTGGAAGCAGTTTTGCTTTCATAAGGCATACAAATTTCTTCATAACCGATAATACAGACTTCTGGTTTCCAATCCATCATGTGAGGACTTGAAAGTCATCGCTCCTATCCTCACAACAAGAAAAAAGCTGAATAAACTAAGAATCAACAACTCTTCTTAGATCTATCAGAGACTTGAAATTACAGTGCAAACCACTGCCCTGAAAACTGGAAAGACAGACAGGTGGTTACAGAGAGTCACAACATAGCAAGAGCAGAAACCAAGGCTGCAACTAGCAACTGGTAGGAATACTCAAAA